GGGAAGCAGTCGAAGTACAACAGCAGCCAGCACACGCGCGCGGATCGCGGAACGCGGAAGCCCGGTCTACACCTGTAGCTTATCTACCCATTCATGTACAAGTACTGAATAAACTGTTCTGAACCGAAGACCACTGCGAGTTGAATTGCTCTGCTTACCTATCCTCAACAGGTTACGTGCCCAGAGACAGTGCTACGGACATTGAACAATTATTGCAAGTGCTGAAGATAATATAGGAAGTGTGTGACTAGTGTTATCAAACATGAGTGTGGCAAAAGTATCCTGTATAGACTCGCTTAGCAGGGATAACTACGACACGTGGAAAATACAGATGAAGGCATTGCTGGTAAGAAACGATCACTGGAGTTATGTATCTGGCGAGATAAAGCAGCCACGGCTAGATGATGGGGACGAAGCATCCACGAGAGCTGTAGAAGCCTGGACTAAAGGTGACAGCAAGGCGATGTCGGACATAATTTTGTCAATAAGCCCCTCAGAAATCAAACAGGTAAAGAACTGTAATACATCCAAGGAACTGTGGCAAAAGTTGGAGGGTATTTACCAATCAAAAGGACCCGCTAGAAAGGCCACATTGCTCAAACAGCTTACACTGCAACGTATGGAAGAGGGACAGGACATACGATGTCATTTAAACTCATTTTTCGATGCAGTTGACAAGTTAAATGACATGGATGTAGAAATCAATGCAGATCTATTAGCGATAATGCTACTGTATAGCCTGCCAGCCAGTTTTGAAAACTTCAGGTGTGCAATTGAGTCTAGAGACGAATTACCATCCCCGGAAATTCTTCGAATAAAAATTATAGAAGAGTATACTGCGCGGAAAGGCGACGTTCGAGAAACGGAAGGCGCCATGTTCGTGAAGCGGAATTATGGGAAAAATCACGGTCACGCAGGAAATGGCGGACGGGGCAGTGGCGTCTCGGAAGGTACACGAGGCAGCGGCGTCTCGGAAGGTGCACGAGGCAGCGGCGTCTCGGAAGGCAGAAGAACGTTCAGGTATAAGTGTCACAGATGCCGAAAAGTAGGCCACAAGGCCGCTGAATGTCCAGACAAAGGTAAGACTGTTGCCAATTCTTACAAAAGTGAAGCGAACTGTTCCGAACACGTGGGACTCGTTACCGCGGAATGTTATCATGTTGAACAGAATCACAAAAGACTGAAATGGTGTCTAGACAGTGGCGCAACGTCTCACTTATGTAAAGACATTAGTTGTTTTTCTGACCTTGAACGTAGACATGATCATTTGAATTTAGCAAATAGTGAATTTACGGACATTACAGGTTCCGGAACAGCCACGTTTGTTGCTGACGTTTTTGGCGACACGAAAAACATCTCACTCCACAAAGCTTTTCATGTTCCCGACCTAAGAGTAAACTTACTTTCTGTTGCAAAGATTACCGATAAAGGATTTGAAGTTTTATTCAAGAAAGAAAATGCTTTGATCTATGATAGTAATGGTGATATAAAAGTTGTAGCCGATCGTAGTGGCGATTTATACTACGCGAGAGAAGGCGAAGCGCAGAATAAATCAGCTTTCATTTCGACCATGAATTCTAAAAATGTCAAACTATGGCATCGTAGATTAGGACATTTGAACTTTCAGGATTTGAATTCTTCATTGAAGAAAGGAAGATTAGGTGGAAGTAAATATTGAAAATATGCCTAATAATGGGGAACTTAATTGCGAAATTTGCATACGCGGAAAAATGACGCGTTCACCATTCCCGAAGAAGTCCGACAGGGAATCGGAAATGCTAGAAATCGTACATACTGATGTTTGCGGTCCCATGCGAGTAGAATCTCACTCGAAGTACAAATATTTTGTCGAATTCATAGATGATTATTCTAGGTATTGCACGGTATTCTTCATGAAACATAAAAATGAAGTTGTGCGAAAGACTCAGGAATATATTACACTGGTCGAAAACCAAAAGAACAAAAAGATAAAGTGCATCCAATCTGACAACGGGACGGAGTACACATGTAAGGAAATGGAGGATCTCCTGAAAAAGCACGGAATTTCACGTCGCTTGACTTGCCCATACACTCCGGAACAGAACGGTATAGCGGAGAGGAAGAACCGCACTCTCTTGGATACAGCACGTTGTCTAATCATGCAGTCCGGCTTACCTCCGATCTTTTGGGCTGAAGCCATCAACACGGCCAACTATTTGCGGAACAGATGTCCATCCAAAAGTCTGAACGGGTTAACACCATACGAAAAGTGGACTGGAAAGACTCCCGACGTTTCGCATCTCAGAGATTTTGGTTGCAAGGTCTTCTGTCTAAACCAAGATCAGGCCAAGGGGAAGCTAGACGCAAGATGTAAGGAAGGAATTTTCATAGGGTATTCGGAACAAACGAAAGGATACAAGGTCTGGTTGCCGAAGGAGAATAAATTCGTAGTCACGAGGGATGTTAAGTTCTTGGAAAACGCAGAAGTCATAAGCCAAGAATGGACAGATTTTATTCTGGAAGGATCATCCAAGGAGAATGAATCTGAGATGCATACTATCGAGGTACAGCTATCCCCAGTTGTCGAGAACGAAAATCCAGAACATGAATCTCCTACAACGGAACAAGAAGAGCCCGAGGTTGATCACGATTCTGAGCCACCCAGGCGTGCCCGCGGGAGACCCAGAATTCGGCGAACTGGTTCGAGGGGAAGACCTAGAAAGATATACAGGTACAGGACACCCCCGAGAGGTTCAGCACTCTCTTCTGAAGAGGTATTACTGTCCGAGGTCCCGATGCATCAGGCAGTCAGAGGCGAGGACGCTGACGAATGGCACAAGGCGATGGCAGACGAAGTGGCATCTATCTTGAAGAATGGTACTTGGGAATTAATCGACCGACCATGTAACCAGCACATCGTTGGAAGCCGTATTGTCCTGAGAAACAAGTACAAGCCTGATGGAACTATCGAAAGGAGGAAGGCAAGACTAGTCGCTCGGGGATTTAGCCAAAAGCCCGGAACACATTTCAACGAGACTTTTGCCCCTGTAGCAAGGCTTAGCTCCATAAGACTTGTATCTGCCCTAGCAGCACATTTAAATATGGACATGCAGCAACTGGATGTTACCTGCGCATACTTAAATGGAAGTCTAGATGAGACGATTTACATGGAAACCCCCGAATATTTGGATGAATCATTGAAGATTATTTGTGATAACTCCAAATACAACGAGGCTACCAGAAAGAAGGCTCGAGATACCTTGAACACACTGGGAAAAGGTGATAAAGTATGTCTACTTAGGAAGTCACTATACGGCCTGAAGCAAGCCGGTCGGAGCTGGTATCAGAAACTAAGCCAGACACTTAGTGAATGTGGTGCAAATCCAACTAAGTCCGACCCATGTGTATTCACTAGTAAAACAGGGAAGACATTATGATAATTGTCACTTATGTAGACGATCTGATTATCGCATCACGTGACAAAAAGGCAATATCGTCCCTAAAAGCCAAATTATCTGAAAGATTTGAAATGAAAGATCTGGGATCAGTTAATCATTGCCTAGGGATGGAATTTTCACTAAAGAAAAACAAGATAAGTCTAAGCCAGAGAGCATATATCTTGGAAATACTAGATCGATTCAACATGGCGGATGCGAACACTGTAAGCACTCCACTTGATCCAGGAACGAAGTTAAGGAAACCGACGGAGAGCCCATCTAGTGAAGAGCTGAAGTTACCTTATAGGGAGCTTATAGGTGCGCTAACCTATCTATCGTTGGGAACGAGACCCGATATTAGCTTTGCCGTAAGCTACTTAGGACAGTTCAACAACTGTTACACTAAGGAACACTGGACAGCCGCAAAGCGAGTACTTAGGTACCTGAAGGGCACCATCGATCACTCGATAGTATACCAACGAGAAGACATGAATCTGAGAGGATTCGTTGATGCTGATTGGGCAAACTGCCCTGACGATAGGCATTCGTATACCGGATTCTCATTCATCCTATCAGGCGGACCCGTATCGTGGGAATCGAAGAAGCAAGCCACAGTGGCATTGTCTACCACCGAGGCGGAATATATGGGTACCACCGAAGCTGCCAAGGAAGCAATCTACTTGGGCAAGTTCATGACCGAAACTTGGGTTCGAAAGACTCGCTAACGTAACCCTATATAGCGACAATATGAGTGCTATAAAATTGGCCGAGAACCCAAGATATCATTCCAGAAGTAAGCACATCGACATACGTTACCATTTTGTGCGGGAGGCCTGGAACAGAAAAGTTTAAGTTGAAGCATACTCCATCTTCTGAAATGGCCGCAGACGTATTGACGAAGGGGTTGTCGAGGGCAAAACATCGGAAGTGCATGGAACTTTTGGGATTACAGACGACGGACCAGAACCTGTATGTATCTGCTACGTCTCGAGGGGAAGTGTTGGAACGCGTACTAGCGTCACCCCGCCGCGCCGCTACTGGCGAGACGACCAGACACGTTGCCTAACCTAGAAGCTTGTAACCGCCGTCCTGTCCCCGCGCGCCGCACCACAGAATGAAGTCAGTCGTGAAGAGTCAGTCGCAGGGTTGCCAGACCTATTTCTATAAGTCCCCCAGCCTAAATAACAAATTCCCCCAAAAGCACATCTTTAAAAAAAATCTCCCAAACTTCAAAGATATTTATTATTATTATTATACTTTGCAGGTTGGCTAAGATTGTCTATGAGTATGGTATTTATGGTAATAACACTAATAACTAATAACAAGTAACATAAATATATATTTTTTACTATCATAATATACGAGTAGTATGCTACAGCTCCGAGAATGCATTTAAAAAAACTTCTTCCTCCTCCTTTTTGCAATCATACATTCTTTCAGAATTGAAATATTGCAACATATTTTCAGTTGGTTGAAAATCTGTACAACCATTTTTAAATTGCACAGATACCATCGAACTCTCATGATAGCATCTGTACTATGAATCGCCAGCGATTTCTAAGTTTGTTTTTTACCACATTTATAATGGAAAAAGCTCTCTCAACTGAAGCATTAGAAAATGGAAGGCTAAGTAACGCAAGAGCTAATGATGAAATATTTTTATATCTAGGTTCCCCTGCTGCATCGACGTTATTTGCCACCTCAACCCAAACTTTTCTGTATCATGCAGGTTTATCCAATTTATTCGAGGAAGTGATTTCCATTCTGCAATTGTACTATCAAGGTCAGGACATATTGTTGAGAAAGATAAAGCAATATTAGTTATTTCAGGTTGACGTATCTTGGATGTAGCTAATTCGGGGTTAAATGAATTTATTTTCTCCAAAATATTCATACTTTCAGGGATTCTCATTTGAATTTGTCGACATAATTCCACTAAAAATCTTTACATCTAGTTCGCACCATTAGTAGTTCATCTTGTTTAATTGCTAAGGATGACGCTTTTGAATTGAACGAATATCCTAAATTTATCAATTCTATATCCATAATGTAATCTTCAAATTTGAAATCAACGACGTTATTTTTTGAAATTTTTTGAAGTCTCATAGGTGGTACTAAAATACTTAGGTTATTGAAAAGTAATAAATTCAAATCTTCCATTAATTTCAGTGGATCTGCACACTCTGACTGAAACAGTTTATTACTCTAATTATTTCTTTCAATGTCCAACTCAAAAAGGTGAAATATAATACATTAGTTTGGTCCGATAACATTTGAAACAGCTGTTCAGCCATATAACACCTTTCATTATCTTTTACTATACCAAAGTGTATTTTTAATGCATCCCATTGTTCTAGAATTTTAACTACCGCATTGTATCTGGCTAGCCATCTGGTTCCTGATAGTTGGTCAATTTTTAGTGGTTTTTGATCCGTCAGTGTTTCAAATATTTGTTTGTATGCTATTTGCCTTTTTGTACTACAAGAGAACCAATTGTGGCATTCCTTGATTATAAAGTCCAAATGACGAGGTAGAAGTTTAAATGCATACTCTGCTGCCAAATGCAGAGAATGACAGACGCACTTAATAATAACAAGTTCATTATTCTTTGCTTTCAAAAAAGAAGCTACTGAATTATGCGCTCCAACCATAACATTGGCTCCATCAACACCGATTCCTATTAGATTCCCTAATTTTAAACCGTCTAGCTCCAGCCGAGATAGTTATGGCATCTCCCTTTTCAATTTCGATAAGTTTGTAGAAAGTCGTAACAATCTTAGTTTGCTTTTTACTAAAATATTTTATCATAACGCATAGCATTTTTGTGGAATCGACTGCAGTGCTCTCATCTATAATCAATGAATATTTACTATCTGCAACATCCAAAAGTAAGTCATTTAGTATTGAAGGAGCCAACACATTCAATATTAAAGATGTACATTTAGTTCTGTGTAATTTAACGTCATTTAATATTTCAGATGATTTATCTAAATTTTTTAAAAGTGATCCAAGATGATCAATTGTTGCAAGTGAGCAGTGCTCACATATGAATGCAGCAATTTTTAATTCTGCTATTTTCCTGCTGGCGGTCAAACCTTTTTTCATAAACTCAGTAATTTTTTTACTCGGGCCAGCCAAAGATCTTTTCTCCGCCTCTTGATGTTTCTTACTTTTACCGTGAAGCAGTAAGTCTTTTTTATGTGCAGCTAAAGTACATTTACATATCTTACAAAGCGACTTTGTCTCATCTGCTAATACAGGACCAATCCATCCTATATGGAATGAATAATTATAATTAATAACCCACACCATCAAATTTCAATAGATTACCTTTAAGTTCAACATCGGATTCCCAAGCAACTCGGTATTTTCGGGTATATAACGACTCCTTTTCTTTAGGCATATTTAGATTGACACGTACAACACTAATTTGGATAAACCGTGCGTATTGAACACTCCAAAGTAAAAGAAATATAGCCTATAAAGTTAATGATAGGAAAGGAAATAAAGTTACACGATTCTCTGGGTTTCACATAGATGAGAAACACTTATTTAATCGCGCCATCTAACGCACAAAACAAAATAATATTTTGCCGCTATTGAAGGAAACTGTAATGTAGGTGCTTCAGAATAATTTTAATAGTTGTTGAAAGATGGCAGGATTATCTGTAAATGAATTTATATTTATTCAAAGTTGTTCTCGAATTCCAATAATTCAATTGAAACTTGAAAATTGGTCGGACGACAGAATGTCTTCTTAAAATCGCACCCCAAAAAAAACCCCAAAACGGAATAATTTTCCCCCAAAAAATCCCACACGCATTGTATACCCCCAAAAATTCCCCCAAGCAATGAAAAATACCCCAAATTTGGGGGAAAATCCCCCAATCTGGTAACCCTGGTCAGTCGTGGGAAGCACTCGAAGTACAACAGCAGCCAGCACACGCGCGCGGATCGCGGAACGCGGAAGCCCGATCTACACCTGTCGCTTATCTACCCATCCATGTACATGTAATCAATAAACTGTTCTGAACCGAAGACCACTGCGAGTTGAATTGCTCTGCTTACCTATCCTCAACAGCTTATCCTAGGAACTATGCAGTAACAGCATTGCAGCAAATTCTCCTTATGCTTCGCTTTTGTGCTACAGGATGTATGTTGCAAACCGTTGGTGATTTCACTGGAATCCATAAGTCTACAGCATGTAGAATTGTAAAACGAGTTAGTGGTATATTTGCATCTTTAGCATCAGAATACATCCATATACAAAACACACAAGAATAAATTGATGAAGTAAAAAGGAAATTTTATACTATTGCAAAGTTTCCTCGTGTAATAGGAGCCATCGATTGCACTCATGTTAAAATAATTTCCCCAGGTACTTAATCTTTGAATTTGTTGTTATTCATTTACTTAATTTAAGCAAATTAGAAAGACTTAATATTAAAATATGTAATATTAACTTTTAGCTGGAGCTAATGCCGAGTATTCTAGAACGAGAAAAGGATATTTTTCTATAAATGTACAAGTAGTAGTTGATCCAAATTTATTGATAAACAATATTGTTGCTCGATGGCCTGGTTCAATGCATAATCAAACAATACTGAACAATAGCTCAATAAAGCCACAGTTTTGAAATAATAGATCTGGGAAGTCTGTAGTGCTGGGAGATTCAGGATATGCATTAAGAAAATACTTAATAACACCTATTGTTAATCTAACAACTGAAGTGGAACAAGTATTTAATGAGGAGTCGAAATCCAATTGAAAGATTGTTTGGTGTTTTAAAAAGAAGATTTCCAGTTCTTTCGCTTGGTATAAGATTATCTCTGGGGACAGCAAAGACTCTTATTGTAGCATGTATAGTTCTTCATAATATAACAGTTAATATGAACGAGCCAGAACCTCTCCAAGATGATGATCAGAATAGAGAATGGGGGGCAGAAGAAAATGTGGATGGAATTGATGTTCATAGGTTGGAACATGACTTTCGAGTAGAATTTCTTATATACTTTATGAATCTATTAGAAGAAAATCACAAAACTATTTTGCATGATAATTTATTGAAATATATTTGTAAATGTATTTGCAACGGTCTAATGATTTCTTCAAAGTTTAACTTTAGCAGGTACTTCTATCTTTTTCTAATGAAGTTTAGCAAATTCATTCAATGAAACATGAGATTTGTATTTTTCATTATAAATTTATTTTCTATCCTACATCAGAAAACCAAGTTTATAAGTTTCATTAATATTTTATTGATTATACATCAACTTGTTCCTCTCTGAGTAAAATTTCATTTTCTAGTTTTTTATTTTGGAGCTGCAAGTTTTTAGCTTTCAACTCGTGTAGTTCCGGCTCAATTTTAATTTTTTGTTCGTGGTGTTCTTTGTTTCTTGCAGCTTCTTCTTCTAACAACTTCCTTTTTAGAGATGTTAGGCCCTCTTTCGAGGACTGTTCTTCAATCCTTTTTCTTTTTCCTTGAAGGACTCTGTGTTTACTTGTTTGTAGATGTCTTGGTGGGTACTGTGTAATCAGACCAATCTAAAATAAATACATTACATTGCACTGAGTACATATTAAGCACCTATCATTTATCACTTTAACTACCAGAGGGGATTGCTGTGGTACTGGTATAGTCGGTGTTCGCAACTCACATGTGTGTTCTGAAACTTTGGCGTTGCTTTCAGAATCTGAAATTGTGAAAATTGTACAAATGCACTTGTTTTAAATTTTGCCAAAATTATCACCTTTATTTAACACTATAGACATTGATGCAAGATGAACATCGCCTTCATGTAGATTTTCTGTATCTTTATTTTTCTCCTCCATACAAACAGATGACACTTCTGAAAAACATATATAATTAAAGTATTTTCAAGCTTAGATAAATAACTGTGGGTGTTCACTGTAATATTACATAATATCCATCGTACCTTCTTTATTTTCAAATGAAGGACGCATCATCGCTGATACCTACAGATGGCTGCAATCCATGCACTGATAAGCCAATAATACTTTTAATTCTAACGTAAAGTATAATTACTGGTTTCTTTATATTTATCCTATCAGCACCATCACCAGTCCTCAACAAATTTTGCCTCCTGTGAGCTTCATACTTGCGTACTTCTTTTTTAAATCATCGAATTTACACCTGAGTTGATCAGCTATTCGTGACTCGGTTATGGCAGAGTTGTATAGTTCTGCAATTTTCTCCCAAGCTGCTGCCTAAGAAATTATACTAACATTGTACTTTTTGTATTCAATAAAAATTAAAAACTTCACCTCTTGTTTCCACGTTACTACGGCGTCTGTTCTCTTGCGCTCAACAATATTTTTGTATTTCAAAAGAATATCTACCAAACTATGGCAATTTGCCTCGGAAAACTTCACTCTTTTGGTTGGTTAAGCATTCATTTTTAGGTAATTATGAGGAAACATGGATTTAAACAAAGCACGGGCGCTCAAACATTGACGGGGAGCCGTACACAGTGAACTGTCAACACTGGCAGTGCTGTCAGCTCATTTGCCGTTCTGTGTTTTGTGGACCGTACAACATTTGTCCAGATGTCATTGTCATGTCATCAAAATAAGGTGACAGAACTGCCAACTGAAAAAATTGAAACTGAATCGTCGGTTGACAAACCGCTACCTGAAAGTAGGTTCGTAAACACAATTCTCTTCAACCGCCAGTTGAATTTCAACTTTCGGTTGGGAAACCAGCGGTTCAGTTTTACTTTTATGTAAACGGCCCTAAATAATCTGACGAGAGACTTATGTCAGTCTAAGGAGTCTGAACAATTGCTAGGATCTCGCCTTCGTGAAAATAATTTACTAGATCCGGGAACAACATTCTACTGGTATCGTGTTCGAGAAGAAGAGTTTCGAACTTTTTTTAAAAAGATGAAGACACAGCATTACTTTACTGCAAAATTATCAAGGGTCTCATTGAGGCTTTAGGTTTAACATCGATTGTAGCGAATGGAGATTGTTCATCGATACATCTAACAAAAGGTTGAAGGCAGTCTTCTTGTTTAAGGGTAACAGAGTTTCTTCTGTTCAAGTGGGTCATTCAGTACAAATGACTGAAAGTTATGATAATATGGAACATTTACTAACCGATATCGAACAATGCGCTATATTTTTGACATCAGCACATAGAATTTGCCCAAAAACGGTTGCAAAAACTTTGACCCCAGACAAAAAGAATTAAACCGCAGACCAGTGTAGTATATTTACCGTAACAAGATTAAAAATTATGTTTCGTTTATTTTGCACAAACAAATTTAGTTATACTTATGATAAAACTGTAAAGGCATTATTAATTTGATTTTGTCTTTTCAGATTATCAGTATAGATGAATCTGTTTGTATAATCCGCAATAAGGCAGGCGATAAGCCAATCTGTGAAATAAAAAAAGCAGCTTTGGACCGTTTAATGGTGTCTAGTAAGAAAAGAATCGACAATAAATACAAAACATTTGAGACTATGACGTCAGCTTTTATTCATCCAACTTGCCAAAGTCACTATAAAAAGGAGACTGCTTCGTTCTGTAGTTCAAGATCTAGAGAATCAAAAGAAGCAAAAGAAATAAATAATACGGTCTTAGATTTAATTTTCAATCTCAATGCTACCTCTGCGGTGGGTTTTTCGGAAATATTTAAGCCTAGGTCAGTCGCGCGGGTGAGAATCGTCACCCACTTTCATTTAATATACCACTATTTAAATGTTTCAGCTCACTTGGCAACATCGCTCCGAGTATCTTTCATGTTATGATAGATGTCTGTGCCGTCAAATATTTAGTACGGCTTGTGCGTGTTTAGTGGAGATATCGCTGACCAAATCTGAGTGGTTGACAAGTGTCCCCCGCGCGACCTTCTACTTTGTTAAATTATTATTAAGGTGTTGTTGTACTGTGGCAAAGGTAATTTAATTTTTAATATTTTTTCTCCCTATGCTAAGGTATTTTTGCTTTAGGTATTTGGAAGTAGTAGCAAGGCCATGTCTGAACAGAAAAAAAAAAGTAGAGACCAGTAATGATCCCAATGTATGGCTGAAGTGGTACCATGAACTAAGTGATGAAAGTGATCTGAGTGAAAGCTCTAAGGATGAAGATAAAAGTGACAAAGAGGAAGAAAATATACTGACAGAGAGTGAGCATAATACAGAATCGGAACAAGAGGTTGTGGAAAGTGAAGAATTTGAAAGTGACGAAGACGTGCCTTTAGATTCTTCCAGTTTCTACATTGGGAAGGACAAAATAACGAAATGGAGAAAAGCGAATCCTCCAAGAAATGTGAAAACAAGGTCCCATAACATTATTATTCATTTACCAGGACCCAAAGGTAAAGCACGAGAATTGAAAACAGAAGTATCAGCTTTAGAACTCTTTTTAGACGACAATATTCTCAAAACAATTACAGCGTGCACTAATATTTATATAGAGAAAACACGTCAAGAATTTACAAGGGACAGATATGCAATATTCATTTACTATGGGATAACTCCAAGGGAAATCGCATTGAATCATGTTATCTTACTATGAGTGAACAAAGGTTCCGTTTCCTTTTGAGATTTGACAACATCAATGACCGTAACATGCGTAAATAACTTGATAAAATGGCAGCAATTAGGGAAGTGTTTGAACTATTCACCAATAATTTTGAGAAATATTTCTCACCGAGTGAATATCTAACTATAGACGAGCAATTGCTTGCGTTTAGAGGTTGTGCAGCTTTCCGCCAGCACATCCCCAATAAGCCAAGTAAATATGGCATTAAAACATTTGCTTTGGTTGATGCTAAAACAGCTTATACTATGAAACTGGAAACGTATGTTGGATTGCAACCTCCAGGTCCATATCAGCAAAGTAACAATGCCAAAGATATTGTGATGAGGATGGTGGAACCAGTTCAGGGTACAAATAGAAACATCACATGAGATAACTGGTTCACTAGTATTCCATTAGTCAATGAACTGCTGACTGAAAAGAAATTAACATACTTAGGTACTCTCAGAAAAAATAAAAGAGAAATTCCTAAGGAGTTTCTTCCCCAAAAAGACCGGGATAAATTTACTTCAATTTTTGGATTCCAGGAAAACTGTACAATTGTTTCTTACTGTCCACAAAAGAATAAAGCAGTTCTAGCAGTTTCTACCATGCATCACGATAGTGCAATCAGTGAAGACACAGGAGAATATCAAAAGCCGGATATTATAACATTTTACAACAGTACCAAGATTGGAGTAGATTTAGTAGACCAAATATGCCAAAAAAATAATGTAGCAAGAAATACGAGACATTGGCCTATGGTTGTATTTTATAATTTATTAAATGTTTCCGCTGTAAATGCTATGATAATTTATAAGCTCAACAAACAAATCGAGGGAAAATTACGCCGAACTGAATTCTTGCAAAGCTTAGCATGGGATATGTTGACACCACAAATAAAACGAAGAGCTTACATTTCACAAATTCCACGGGAACTTCGCCGCAGGTCAATGGTATTGCTGGGTTTGGAACCCTCAACTTCTGTAGTTGAACAAAGAGATCGAAGAGGAGCAAGAGGGCGCTGTTACTACTGCGGAAGAGCACGAGATAAAACAACTAGAAAACTTTGCGCGCAGTGTCAAAATTTTGCTTGCAATGACCACCTAAAAGAAATTTGTGTGCGATGTTATGAAAACAACGACTGAAGTAGTAATTCACAGTTATCTTATGTTTTAAATATATTTTGTTGTTAAAATCAACCTACATTTTATGTCAAGGCTTATAGAGAATATCTTGTTTCTTATTTAATAAATATTTTTGGAAAAATCTTGTATAGGTTGTTTTTTAGGATGGTTGACGCTTGTCACCCACGCGACTAATAATGTACGGATAAGAGACGCGACTAACCTAGGGTTAAAAAAAAATTCTTCGGTTCAAAGTAACGATACAAGAGATAATATATTACAGTATATTCAAAAACAAAACAAATTGAATGATTTCGATAAAAACATTTTAGCCCATTTGAGAAGTGTTCCTGACTTGGTCGCAGTAAAAGCGCATTATCACACTGATTGTATCTCTACTTTTTATAATAAAAGAACTGAAAGAAAAAAAAATCGCTCAGCATGTGAAAACACTAAGAATTTGATCAATTATGTTATTAATTATATCGTTGACAACGAAACAGAGTGTCAATTTTCTGTCAATGAAGTAAAAGAGAATTTTTCAGAAGATCTCCAGACTACATAACTATTAATAACACATTGAAAGAACATTTTCAGAACGATATAGAGTGTCATTTAATCAAAAGAGACATGATAATTTTATACAAAAATGGTATTGCAAGTAAGAAACTCTGCAAAGACTGGTACGAAAAAAGATTAGAAAGAAAAGAAGACGAACGGACTACAATTGTTCAAATGACTGCTGAAATTGTTTTAGAAAATATAAGTTCTAAAGTATACGATATGACTACGAAATTCCGGATTTAAATGAACGCAACCTTTTTAAGGATGTTCCTAAAACTTTGCAAGTTTTTTTGGATATTGTGTGTAAAAGTAATAAAGAAAACAATACAAATAATGTTCGTAGGATTGCAAGACCACATTATTCTTTATCGCCTATTTTACTTGGTATGTTGTCAATGATTCGCAAAAAATATGCTTCTAAAGGACTGATCGACTCATTATCTAATTTGGGTTTGTGTTCCTCATATAAAGAAACTTTGGCACTGTGGAGCACCGATTATCAAGGACCCTGCAAATCATATGGTTTCTCCAGATTCATACGTTCAGATTATTTATGACAATGCGGATCGTAGTACATGCACGATTGGTGGCAAGAATACTTTCCATGCAATGGGTGGATAATGGTTGTTACTCCGGCGTCTAGCGTCACTTCAAGGAAAACCATCGCTAGATTAAAAAAAAAACATCTTCTGAGTAGATAGGCAAAATTGGATTTATGAAATGAAGATATTTTAGATCATACGGACAACTATTTCATCGGCATCGGTTTACATGGTCTTATTCAAAATTTGCAAACAACAAATCCGATGGTTGGAATGAATTCATGGAGAAGTTACATACTAATTCGACTTATCATACTTCAAAAATTATTCCTGAGCCGTTTATAAATAATCCTTAGAGTGATATGATACAATGTTTACATCGGTGGTAGAAGCGGCTGATCAATGCTAAAAACAAGAGCAAAGAATTGGGCAAGCTCGATAGAACGTCCAGGTATTTTCATAATACTCATCCGTATTCATTCGACAACATCCACACAAGAAAAGATAGAAATGGCTGGTGAAAGAAGGGACTTTGTATTACCATTTGAAGTATGTATATATTTTTTCTACGTTGCTTTTAAATCTTGTGCTGTGTTGTTTGTGTTTGATTCACAACTTAGAGACGTTTTTCTTGTTATTACAGCTGGACTAGGCCGACTTTGAGGAAATGCCTCAAGCAGCAAACGTGGGAGTGCCAGATGGTGGAAGATACTTCATACTTCCATTTAGAGTACGCAGATTTTTCTTCTTTGTTTTCAAACCTTATGTTATGTTGTTTCTGCAATTCATGGATACTTTTCTTGTTATTACAGCTCGATTCCAGTGATGAAGAAATGGGAACAGAAGAAGAGGAAGAGTATATCTCCTTCATTTCCGGTATCTGATGTACGTGTATATATATTCATTTTTTTACTCACCTCCCTTCCAAATCTAATTCCATTTGATCCTCAATATAGTATCCCTTTTAAACCTCATCCTTTACAGTTTGTGTTTGAACTGCTACGAGGGATGTCTTTTAAGTTTTGCATATAGAAACATAGGCCGCGCGGATCGAACGTCAGTACTGAATCTTAACCTCACTCTTCAGTAAACTTAAATTCAAAGTTTCACAACAATACGTGCAGTGTTCTCACTACAGTGAATTTTTAAGTGTCATCAAGTCATTAGAAAAATGGAACTTAACCGAGAACATTTTCACGCCATAATTTATTAAAACCTTCAGAGACAATTATCGCAACAAGAATGCCTTGCTGAGTTACTGTCTGTATTCGGCAACGAAGCGCCACATCAGTCGACAATTTCCCGTGGGTATGGAGAATTCAAACGTGGACGGGTGAGTCTTAGCGACGATTCCAGGGTGGGTGCACCAAAAACGGCAGTCACCCAGGAAAACGTCGATGCTGTGCGCAAACTCATGAGGCCTCCTTGAAGATCTTAAAGACCTCAATTCAAAAAATTTTACATAGAGAATTAGGAGTATGAAAATTAGTTTCTTGTTGGATACCCCACCTGTTGACAGAAGAGCAGAAAGCAGCCAGGGTTAATTGGTGTCAAAAAACGTTTGACCGTTTCAATTCCGGAAACTCAAACAATGTGTACAGCATTGTTAGTGGCGATGAATCGTGGATTTACTGTTATGATCCAGAAAATAAACGACAGATGGTTGTTTGGGTGTTCCAAGGTGAAGAAACGCCAACAAAAGTCATCCGTTCTCGAAGTGTGTCGAAAAAGATGGTCGCGACATTTGTGCCAAAAGCGGGTCATATTGCAATAATTCATCTTAATGAGCAAAAAACTGTTACTGCGGATTGGTATACCACCATTTGTTTGCCAAAAGTCATCACCGAGCTTTGAAAAATCAATCCCGAAAGAAGAATCATCCTCCACCAAGACAATGCAAGCTCGCACACAGCCCAAAATACAATTCAGTATTTAACGGAAGAAAACGTGGAATTATTGGACCATTCTCCATATAGTCCCGATCTAAGTCCTAACGATTTCTTTACTTTCCAGAAAAAATTAAAAACAGACTGCGTGGTCAAAGGTTCTAGTCACCAGAAGAAGCAGTTGACGCATTCAAGAATGCCGTTTTAGATCTGCCAGCAAACGAGTGGAATAAGTGCTACGAAAATTGGTTCGAGCGCATGCAGATGTGTATTAATCTTCGTGGAGAATACTTCGAAAAACAATAAAGTCATTTAAAACTACCTACCGTGTTGTTTTATTTCCATATGCAAAACTTAAAGGACATCCCTCGTACTATATATTTTTCTCTTCATTGCAGCCAAACTATGGACCATGCGACACCACAAGTGTCTTTTATGTCAATGATAGTGACGATGATATGTGGAGCATTCAGATATTCGTTTTGGCCGATGGCGACCCGGATCAGAGTCACTGGCACCATTCCACACATCCTGATAGTCCTGGGCCCTGTCAAATAGGGGGATCCGGATGAGGATGAGGAGTTCGTCGTCATCAACAGCGTTAGATTATCCGAAGACGATATGATTTTATCGTACTAATCATCCGATCTGTCGTCAGAGATCGATGACAATCCGGAAGATTAATTCGCTAAAAATATTTAGTATGAGTTAGTTTACCTGAATGTAGTATACTTATTCTTTTTTGTTAATTATAAGTTATACATATGTGACTTAGATTTAAGAAATTGAATATATACTTTTAAAAATAGTATTGTGTTTTATTGAAAATATACCTTCACCATTGGAGATTTATCTCAAGTGTTAATAGGGTATTTTCCAACTTGTGATATTGTCATATTGATGGCTGAAATACATTGTTCACAGACATTTATCAATTAGTATACCGTTTGCTCGTGCTTTTTTGACTAATTTGCTGAAAAAAAAACACATTTGAAATTCATAACACCAAAGTGTTTGGAGATTTATCTCAAGTGTTAATAGGGTATTTTCCAACTTAGTGATATTGTCATATTCATGGCTGAAATACATTGTTTACATTTATCAATTAGTATACCGTTTGCTCGTGCTTTTTTGACTAATTTGCTGAAAAAAAAAACATTTGAAATTCATAACACCAACGTGGGATCATTTAAAACTCTTGTATGTCTCTCCGAAGAAATCAGCCAATAGGAATCAATTTTTTAAAAGGTTCTCACTAGAATGTGACCATATTTTATCAAGGATCATATTCAGCGCTATTGCCATGTACTAAGGAATTTCATGAAATTTCACGATTTTGCAACGCATATTTATTTCGATCAACAGTGTTGTCTCAATGGTGTACCTGTCTATATACGTATGTTGTATGCCCTTAGAAGCTACGCAGTTATTAAGTAAGCTTACATTGTTGCACTAGACGCTGCGTTAGCATAAGATAACAACTTCTCGCTAATCAGTTGTTTGCCTCACGTCTCCATTTTCTATATAATAATAATAATAATAATATTTATTCACTCAATGTACAAAGATAACAAACAATATGAGTAAATAAATATAAAATCAAAACAGGCCCAATAGAAGGCATCGCCTGTACATGGACCAATAATTTAAGTTGAAACTGTAGAATGCAAATGACAAAAAAGGACAAAAATTAGCTACAGTAGATTATGTATTTAGTTGATGTTCGTATTTATGAGTTTATGAATTTTAGTCCTAGATATAGAATGTAGCCACTTTTTTAAATTTCTTTTGAAACACTTTCCGAAACGTAAATCTTTTAAGTCTTTAGGTATAATTTCATAAAATTTAGGCGCTGAATAGAGATATGATCGCTGCATTATAGATTTATGCGGTTGAGGAACTACTGTGCCACGAATTTTGTACCTGGTATTATGTTTAATTTTTTGGTCGGTGTTCACAAATTTATGGTAGTGAGTGATACTGTGTAAGAAATAAAGCTGTCTTATATCATACATTCGAACATCTGCGTATAATTTTTCAGTGGGATAAAGTTTCGGTTTTTTAAATATCATTTTTAGAATACTTTTTTGAAAAACATCTAAATTATAGATATGCGAGGAACATGCAGCTCCCCATGCTAATATACCATATGTGAGATGAGGCTCAATCAGTGCATGGTATAATATTCGAAGATATTTTTCTGTTAATATATTCCCAAGGTATTTAATTTTGTAGGATACAAATCTAACTTTCTTTAAAATATAATTGACATGGATGTCCCATCGTAAGTGAGGATCCAAGACCACTCCAAGGTATTTTATGTTGGGCACTCTATTAATTTGCATTTTTTGATCATTAATATTGAAGGAGAAATTTGTGTAATTTGGCAGATGTCTAGCATAAGATCCAAATGGTAAAAAATGTGTTTTAGAGTAGTTAATGTTTAATTTTCTACTGTTAAACCACTGACTAATTTTGATAAAATCATATGGATCTAGTGTTTGTCCATTGTCCATTGTATATTGTGTATTTTCTGCTGATCCTTAGTCAGCACCCTAAATTGTATAAATAGGTCTGCCGACATTTGAAGTGTGTTCAGTACCCGGTTAAGCTCCGTAATAGTCACTTGTAATCTTTGTAAATTGTAATTTGTAACGGACTGTAATTGCAGTCCTCGAATGAAGTTTTCAAATATATACACCTTAGGAAAAACCATTGTTATACATGGGAAATGATTTCTTGGCAACAGCGCATCGGCTCGTCTACTTTCATCGCTATTCGTACATATTTCCTACCGTTAACCGCAGACCTGTATCACGAATGAGAATAATAGGCAGATACGCTGTGTTGCCAATTTGCATAGAGCTTCCCGAATTGTGGGGAATTTAGAGTTAAGTGTTGATTCATTCAAGCTTTTAATCAGCATGGCCTAGACGTTAGAACTTGATAAAGATAACATTGAATCTGAATGCTGCTGGAGTGTTTCGAATATTCAAAGCGGAGCGGGACACTATACTCGTTTAATGGGTCATCAAGCCACAGTCTTTTCAACAAAGAAATTATTTTACGAAAATGCGTTATATTTTTACGATTTTGTCTTCACCAAATCTCTGTTTCTCAAAATGTACGTCTATTGTAGAATTTTCAGCAAACTAAGCAAGAAACGTGATCTAGTATTTACTCAACATTACGGATTTCTCGAAATACATTAAAAAATGTGACCTAGATACCTAACTGCCCCAAGCTCTTTAAATATAACACTTTAGACCAGGGTTACCAGGTGCTCAGTCACGTTGATTGTCATGTTGTACTGCGCAAGTCAGCAAACAATCTGGCGTAATAAACGTTAGGAATCATCAGGTATTGCCAGATTCCCGAATACCGGGCACCATAGTAACCGGTATAGTTGACTTCAAAGTTGTCAAATCACCCCTATGGCGCAAATTCGCCACACCAGGCAACTGTGCTATAAACAAACCCTGTTTATCACTACTATTTGATAGTCATGTGGTAGTTGTAGCCCTATCTAGCGGTCCATGATTTCTCTCAATACTGTTGTATCTCTACTGGCAACAAGAATAGGGATTACAAAATCATTTATACAACAATATACAAACATGAAAAATATGATTTGAACCATGAAACATTAATACAATTTTAATAGTTTGAACTTTTTTCATTTTTGGAATACTCTTATGTGGAATCCGCAGCTATTTTCCCCGAAATTTGGGTAGACTTAGATTTCTTAGAAATATAACATATTGGTATCGGCAACTCTGCCAATGGGAGAAACAAATCGCATTTGTTGAGCGCATCCGTCTAAGCGGTAGGCGCCAGCGCTCGTTCTGCCATCTCTCTCTTTTATCACTCTTCTATTTTACCCCGTTGTCCGTCACACTCCGACGCTGCCAGATAAGAACCTACAATCGAGTGTCTTTCACGCACCTACATACTTTTGTATATTTCCATCTCTCTTCCTCATCACAATGTATAATAATGTTTTTTCCCAAGGTGTATATGTTATATCACTTAAATTCAACTTTACTTTTTAAAAAAATTATTTGAGGACAGTAGGTACTGTCCGTTACAAACGTTTACAATTACTTGACTTGACGGAGTCTAACCGGGTATTGAACTTATCAGTTAGCGTACATTACGGTGTCGCGCCGGGTATTGAACATAAGTTTTCATAAGTGACTGTTACGGTGCCTAGCCGGGTATTGAACAACATGAAATGGGCGCAAGGCCTATTTATACTATTGGTGTGCTTACAAAGCACTTCTAGAAAATAAAGCGTAAACAACGAGAAAATGAAATCAGCTGATGAGCATACCGTGCACCATGCCAGTCCAAACATTCACCGAAAATGTTTGTTGAAAATGTGCCCGACGGACAGCGTGCGGATTTTCTACTGACCAAACATGAGTGTTGCGAAAGTTATTCACTCCATTACGCGTGAACGTAGATTCGTCTGTCACCAATATGCACTTCAAAAAGTCCGGATTATTGTCATGTTGATGCAACAACCACTCACAAAACCGCACTCTTGCTGGAAAATCGTCAGGTTGAAGGGCTTGTACACGTTGGACGTGAAACGGATACAGCCCCTCTTCACGCAGCGTTTGCCACACTTTAGTTTTTGATACCTGCACTTCTCTAGCCACATCTCTAGTGCTTGTTGAGGGATTCTCGTCTACGCGATTACCTCTACACGCGTGACCGTAACCGTCGGTTGAAGGTTGCATACTGACCTGACACACTGACCCCGACCCAGTTCTGTCGTCGTGTTGAGCCAGTGACATTGTACCACTCCGTGATGTCGCGGCTACAGGACGGTATTCAGATATTTTTGATGTTGCAGAGCCCTTTATCTCGGTTCCCTTAAGACATTGGTGTATATGGTACTAAGAAAAATTGCTTATGTTTTCAAGATCTTCACGTCATGTAAAGGAAACCCCCAACTTTGCGGACACCCTGTATAACTTGGAACGTGGTCATTGTCGTCTAGACCAGTTAGGTGAAAAATTAAAGCTTCCGCCTTTTGTTGGGTACTTCGACAAAATTTAAGCAAGGAGGACTCTTTATACTTTTTTTAACCTCTCTAGCTTTCAATGGTCTTTTCCATCATCATCAGGAGCTGCAATTACATTGAGAAAAGTGGCAACAATTGTGCAAAATGAATTTAAATCAACTTACAGTAGTATGTGAGGATGTTGCTAAATGGTATTTACGTTAAGGATGGGGGAACACCCAGTAACATGGTGAAAGCTGGATACATGGTACAATAGTCAAAATTATACAAACTACACACAGCTGTATGACAAGAATAAATTAAAAACAGATTAAAAATATTTAAAACGAAAGTTAAGCATTACATCGTAAAACCACTTGATGATTGCACAAAATGGTGGGCATAGAATCATGAGTAAGATGAACCTTTTGACAGATGGCAGAAGGTTTGCAGTGTCCGTGTAGATGGATGGAACGAAAATTCTTTTGTAAGGCGTGTGCTATGTTGCCAAATCACTTCAGATGGTGTGATTTTCAGGATATGGGTTGTATATCTGTACGTCGAACAATTTGGCAATAGTGTGGTTCAATAAGGGTCAAACCGTTGACTTTTGACAGTGACAGAGTGGCGTATCCTGTTTCGTGCTTTGTGTTGTTCATTTTGTTTTATACGTTTTGTAACCTCACTTGTAACCTTTATATTTTGAAATTATTTGAACAGTCTG